CTGGGGGCGGGCGGGGGGGGCCGTTAGCGGTCGGACGGCGCGCCCAGTCCCTTCCGCAGAGACGGGCCTGTGGCGGGTACAGCGGCCCTCCGGGACGTACCGAGAAACCCCTGCTGAGATTTCCCTTGGCAAAGGGAGGGAGACCCCTCCCGCGACGGGCTCCGCTGCCGGTCAGCCGGCTCCGGGCGCGGTGTCCTCTTCCTCTGTACGTCTTTGAACACGAGCTAGTCCTTGAATCTCTCTGTCTCTCTCTAAATAAAAGCTGTGCTCTATGCCAGGCGATGGTAAAAGTGCAGGTGGCTCTTAGTCATGTCGCTTACAGTGCTTTTGGAAGATACTGGCAAATTAACCTGGCAAGAATAATGGGAACTACTTGTATAAGCAAATAACGGTGAGCACCAAAGTGTTCTTTTAGTCTTTTTTTTTTTTCCAGTGTATTGTTGTCATGCCTTATTGGATGTTTTCTCACGTTGTATGCCTTGTATGGGACTCAGCAGTTTTCTGTGTTCATTCTTTTGATGGTGTACGAGGTGTGCCTGTAGGTTTAACTTTAAAATCTTACTAGCAAGCTTGGTTCACATCAGTGCTTAACTTCATTAACAAGGGTTTTGACTGCAATAAGCTATGTCAGAAGTGCCAGAAGTAGAGTCCTCAGACTACCCCCTTCGAAGGCTTCTTAAAATGTTTTCCCTAGGTCCAAGAAAAGAAGACTTGCTAATGCAATGCTGATAGGTTTTGCTTAATGGTCTTATTCAACTGGCTAAGAATTTTCATAATGCTTTAATGCTATTCACTTAATTGTTTTGATTTTTTGCAGTTCAGTCTTCCAGGGGCTCATCTGAAAGTATAACCAAAAAAAAAAACTTTGCAAATGATGCAAGAAAATGTCACATAAAAGCACTAAAGAGATCAGGAAAGTAAATGTCTCTAGCTCCTTGGAGTCTGAAGATATTAGCTTAGAGACTACAATACCAACTGATGATGTTTCCTCCTCTGAAGAGAGGGAAGGAACTGTTAAAATCACTAAGCAGCTGATTGAACGAAAGGAGTTGCTCCATAATCTTCAGCTGCTTAAAATAGAATTATCTCAGAAAAATTTGATGATTGACAACTTGAAAGTAGACTATTTGACCAAGGTAAGAAATGTAGTGTGTCATTCTTGACATAATCTTTTTTGGTGTCTAGTGCTTTTAGAGTGCTGTACAAACTTTAGTTCTCAAATGGAAGTCTTTATTTCCATACTGGGCATCCTATTTTTTCCTTTCCACTTTAAAAAAAATAAAAAATAAAAAAAACTAATGGAAGAAACAAAGAAACAGAAGACTTCCTGGTCTTGTCCAAGGTGTTATATATGGAAGAGGTGGGATTGGATAGGAGTCTAGTTTTTACTTTCATAAAATAAAGGAAAAAAGACCTATTTTTTTACTGAAGGGATAAATGATTTTGTCCTTGATATAAGAACCTTAATGGGTTGTTAACCTGAACTTGAGGGACGCTAGAAAAATTCATCTGAATGCTATTTAGTGGTCTGTCAGTGAAGAGATGGCTAGAAGATACTGGCATGCTAATAACAGCAGACTCTGCTGTATCCAATTTCAGATAAAATGCATGAAAATAAGAAAGGTGTAAAACCATTGCTACACTTGTGTGCAGGTCACATTTTCAACCTCCTGTATGCTAATTGCGGTTTGTGCTGGCCTGTCACTAAGCTCAAGCCTAATTTGAAATTGATTGAACTAGTAGCTATTTGTCTGAAAAAGATTTAATTACAGAGCACAGTTTTTTGTTATGAGTTCATTAGGTCCATATTGTGTTTTATGAAGCCTTAGCATATTTAGAGATTTTGTTGAACAGTCATGGTATTGTGCTTCTTATGGTATTATCTCTCCAATTTTTTCTTTTAAAATGCCTAATCTTGTTGCTTTTGTCAAATAATGAAAAATATTAACAAGATAACTTTATTTTTTATTTATATTCTTTATATTTAGATTGAAGAACTAGAAGAGAAGCTTAATGATGCAATCCATCAAAAGCAGCTGTTGTCTTTACGACTGGATAGCCAGCTGGCATTACAGCAAGAAGATGCTAGGTACGATGGAATTAAAGCAAACAAAAATTCAGCTGTAACATGGTATTGACATGAATTCATATTTAATCACATTATTGAAGCATGATTATTATGAACTGCAGGAATAAAATTACTTTTAGAGATTATATTGGTATTTCCATTCTATACTTCTGGCTAAATTTGAATTCAGTACTCACTTGCTGAAATTTGTGGGTTTATTTTGTTTTTATTATTGCCTGGGTTCAAAATCTGTTTGGAACTTGGAGTAAGAATGTTCTTAAAAGCAGTAAAGAACGCAGAGAGTAGGTGGAGGGGGAATACTTTAATTTAAACTGAACTTTTAGTAATTCTGCAGCCTGGTAGAAGACTTGAAAAGCTAAATGGGTAGTGTTTAGCAGGCACTTTCACTTCCGGTGAGGATTATTTATTGGTCAGAGATGCTTTCTGTTGGTCAGGTAGAAACTAATTTTTCTTCTTAATGTTTTGGAATATCCTTATCTGGATCATAGCTGAAAATAGCGTGGCTAGCAGGCTCCTTCAGATTATTTCATTAATTAATTTTTTTTAACAGTGTAATAGGATTGTGGAGGGAGAGCGCTACTTAAGAGTCTCGTGTCACAGTAGAGGACATACCTTAACTTAAAGGATATGACTACTTTCAAGTTGTATTCTGTAGTAAGCCTGGAAGAGTTACAGGGCTGTAAAGCCAGACTTGAGATCAGTTATAGCTAAGTCTTTCAGCTAAGAGCAACTATCTGTCAGAGAAATGTCTCTAATACTGTATGCTTAGTTGCACCAGGGTGGAATTTCATGTTTGCCTGTATTTGAATTATCTGGGCTTAGTACTCATTTAACAACAACAACAAAAAAGTACTATTAAAATTGGTAAGTATAAAAAGGTTGAACTTTTTCCCTTTTTCCAAATCTTTTTACTGGTTGTCTTGCCTGTCTGTTACTTCAATTTCCATCCTGGTTTAACAGAATCTTACACTGTGTGCAGAAAATGTCCTTGTGCGTGACTGCTTTGGTGACTTGTAGGATTCTTTTTGTTTTTTAAATAGCGAGGCAGACGTTGTCTTGTAGTACTAGCAGAGCTGATATTTCGAATGTTACTTTTTGAGTAACCTAGACTCCATTGGTGTTTTTGAAGAACAACTAAATTTGAATGGATGTTTTCAAGAGTTACAGTTAAAACCTCCAGAAAGAGTAGGCCAGTCACTCTTGTTTTAAGAACAAACAAACAAAACTTGTGAAGTGTCTCTGAGTGAACATCTGTTTTCTCTTGGTGTCTGATACCTTGGCACAGTAATGACAGTTAAGTGTAGGTTTTTTTAAAACAACCCAAACTTTGTATGCTACACCGAGTAGAAGTTGAGAATGTATGTATAATGAGATTGTATGTGGCATAGACAGTAGGCGTGCCTATGCTGAAACCTGGATGGCAGGACAGAAATTGAAGTTAACATTGGTGACTTACCAGTTTCTTGGGGCTTGGGTGGTTTTTCAGCAAGAAGATTAACCTTTTAATGGGTAAATTAACACTAATTTATAAATTAAAGTCAGCAGATCTGGGGATTAATTGTCACTCCTCAGGTTTAGCTTGGCATTGTGAGTGACTTTGGGCTATAGTAAAGCAAAACTTGACTGTGAAGCTTTTGGCCCCTAATATGGGGTCTGATACTAGTGACTGTGTAACTGTGCTGGTATACGCTCTTGGTCTAATCTCCCTCTGTAAATATTCTCCCTGGGTAAATGGCTCTCTTACAAGTGACAAACCACGTCTTTGCATTAATCACTACTTCATGTCTTCTATTTTCAAATCAATCTTAAAGAAAACATCAGGCTCTAATGAAACAAGAAATGGAAACCATTTTATTGCGACAGAAACAGCTAGAGGAAACAAATCATCAGTTAAGGGAGAGGGCAGGTGATATCCGTCGCAGTTTACGAGACTTGGAATTAACAGATGATTGCTATGAGAAGCTAAAGTCTCTTCCTGAAGACCAGCTTTCTATTCCTGAATATGTTTCTGTGAGTATTTTGTTTTATGTCTATTTAAAATATAACTGTAAATTGCTTGTTGTTTAAAATGAAAAGGATGAACCTGTAGAAGTCGATTCAGACTTTCAGAATTCTTATTTTTCCCCAAGTGGAAGTGAAGGACCTTTTTGCAGATGTACCTATGGGTCAGTCTTTTATGACTGGATTCCAGTAAAGAGCAGAACCCTCTAATTCCAGGCTCTGATGCCATAGAGTAGAACAACTGTTGATTTATTTTAAGACAGTGAAACAAATGGGATGTTTCAGTTAAATGATGGGCAATGACATGCTGATGATGTGAAATACAGCCAACTGGAAATAGAGGTTTGAAACTCAAGACTTACCAGAACCACAAGTTAAGATGGTTCTTGTAAAGAGCCCTTCCTTTCTCTCATGCTTCCTATTTGGCCCTTTTCTGTCCCTGACTTAATTCTTATTGCCTTGATTTGCTTGTTACCTATGGCTCATGAGGAAGATTGGTTAGAGGAGGGCTCGACTTTCAATGAAAAGATAGTGCCTTCACAGATTGTGGGGCATCCTGACTCACTTCTGAGAATGGAGAGAAGGATTTAGATGCTTAAAGATGCCTCAGTTCAACAGAGCATTAGTGCTGCTCTTATCTGTAGAGCTAGCTATTAAAGGGAGCTGTAATTAGTATAATGTTTGAAGGCTTGGTATGTTTGTTGAGGTATAAATATTGCGAGTATGGGCTCTCCCTTGCTGGATGAAAGCCATAGTATATTGTACTCTAGATAAATTTTACCTCCTGTGCCTATCATCCTTATCTAAAGGGAGAAATTCTTGGGAGCATCTTTTTCAAAAGTTTCATGACTCAGACTTTGCAAGTACTCGGAAAATTTTAGGGCCGAGTGATAAAACAGGAATGCATAGCTTGAGACATATTAGGTTATTACTCCCTAGCTCTCTGCTCTGTCCCCTGCCCTCTGCACAGGTATTTGAGCTGTTCATCACTGATGCCTGCACCACCACTGCTGACAAAGCAGACTTTTAATACAAACTGAAGTCCATGATGGCTAGCTTGAAATGGGTGTGGGGGAGCTCCAGCACTTCAGGAGGTGATTGATGGGTAGTTCTGAAGCCTGTGCAACAAGGCAGGACAAATAGCAGGTGTTAGTCACCTTGCCAGCTGCTTTAAGTGAAGCTGTTGCAGCTCAGTTGGAGCGCTTAGACTGGATGTGTGAGTAGAAAGGAGTTTGAAAAAGATGCTGAATGCGAGTGGTCTGCTTCTACCTATTATCTACCTTTCTTTTCCTCTTGCGTTCAACCAGTCCATGTTAGTTTTATCTCTGACCGAAGCTGCACTTCGCTACTTATGTGTTCAGTGATGCCCCTTTCCTCTCCACAAGTATGCATGTGTCACTTTCTTCCTTTTGAAGAAGCCCCTTTTTGGCAAACTAAATTCTTCCAGGAGAAGAAATGCTAGAGGTAGACTCAGTAGGTTGCTATTCCCTGTCTTTTCTCTCAGCTTCTTTTAGCAACAGCATCAGTGTGAATACAGACAAAGCTGTTCTGCCTATCCTATTTGTGCATCCACTTGGCTTTTGAAGGCCAGGAAAGGACTTTGAGGAAAAAACAAATTTTTCTAATGCCCTTTTCAGCCTTCCTTCCCTAAGGAGGAACTTTCCATTTTTCAGGCAGTGATACTGCTGGAGTAAACTCCTGTTTAGCAGGGAAGAGTTCTGTTTAGGGAACACCTGAGCAAGAAATTTCTAAACTCAAACATGAGAACTCTTTCCTCCCTCCCCGATTTATCAATGCTAAAATACTGTCTTTTATCCTTCAGATAAATAAAAGTAAATGTATGTATAATGCTTACATTTTATTTGGAAGCCAGTATACCAGACTAAGTGCAGGACGTATTTTAATACAAATTTTGTATATAAGGATATTGCACGTTTAAAATGCTAGAATTAAAACAAATATAGGATATTTTTCCCCTTTTCTCCCACATAGGGGTGCTATGGCAATGCATTAGAGCAAAGACTAAGCAACATTTATCATGGATGATGGTGACGAAAGAAAAATGATCTTTCAAATATCTTTCTCTTTAAAGGCGGTTTTGTTTTGAACTTACGTATATAAAACATATTTATGAAAACGTTTTTCAAAACAATATGCAAAGTTTCAAATTACATCAGGCCACAGAACTGGTAGGAATTGGTTGTTTGGCAGCTGAATCACTTAAAATACTCAGTGAAGCTGTGAGCCTCCTCTTCGCTCCCCTGTAGAATATTCTGCATCCACCTTTTGGTTTATTTAACCAATTCAGTCTTTGGAGAAGTCTGAATTGTTTGTTCAATTTTGAGTAAGCTAAAAAGATAAGGAAATCTTGTTCTTCTGATCCCCAAAGAAAAATGAGCTGTTAAAAGTGGTATCTACTAATTCTATTGGCTTTAATCACAGTGTCTTTCAGTGATGTCATTTTGCTAACTACAGCTCCTTCTTCTCTTTAAGAAGGTAATTAAATGAAGTTGTATGAAATTAGTTGATTCGTATAATAGAAGTCAATTTAAAAATCTTTCTCCACCCCTCCCATCCATTGTCAACTTCACTCTAATATGCATCAAAATGTGGTGAGTATATGCTAAGAATTTTTTAGAGATCACCTAGAAAACTGACTTTTTTCATTATAGCATATCTATGTAAATGCATAATTTTTAGGATATGTAATTGTCCCTTAAATCTCATGGCAGTAATTTTTTTCTTTATTGAGCTGGCAAGTGGCAATGCATGCTTCATCTACTGAGTTACACAAGTGCTCACTGGCCAGCAAGCAAGCCACATAACAGATAAGAGTGGAACTTAGGCTACAGCCTCCTTTTCAGTTGCTACATTTGTTTCAGTTTTTCTTACCATGGATTGAGTTTTAAGTGGGAAGGCTGTGCGTATGTTTTTCCTTAATACCTGTATCCCCTCTGCCATCTAGGTTTGAAATTGGGTAATCTGTTTTAGTTATTGGGATTTGAGAGGTAAAGAAACAGCCTGGTGGTGTAAGACAGGTGTCCTAAGGAAATCAGATTAAAAATACAAATGCTTCAGGGAACAGCTACATGTGATTTTTAAAAAGGGGGGAGTGCCAGGCATGTCTGTGCTGGGGGTGGTGGTGGGGGGGGGTGTGGGGTGTGAAGCAGTATTTTAAAAAGTTACCAGTTGGAGAGAAAGAAAAAGAACTTTACAATTTTTTACGACTGTTTGACAAAAAGTTGGAAGGGTTTGATTACATCTGAAACCAAGTAGTTTGATTTCAATCAGAAGTTATAAAAGAATCTAGATATGTGAAAATTGTACGTGGTAGAAGCTGTAGTTAGGGATGTGTCATACTTATTGTTTTCATTTACATTTCTAAAGTTTTTTTTTTTTAAGGAAGTAGATGCTTGTTCTAGTTTAATGTTGGCATTGCTTATACTTGATGTTATTTGTCTGGAAGAAAAAAATCTGAACTTGTAAGAAGGTTGAACATTTTAGGGGGGAGGAGAGTTGGAAAGAGTTCACAGAAATAGCTTGACTGTTTATTGTCATGCAAACTCATCAGAAACAATGAGATTTCACAGATACAGATGAAAAAACTCAAATACTTAAGGAATAAAATACTGCAAGGAAAAGAACAGTAATCATATTACTATATATTTAGTCATATATAGTATTTAGTAATATATAGTAATACACAGTTACTTCACTTCCCAGAACAGAAATAAAATTCATAGTTTGTTTAAACAGTAGTATATAAGTGGAATTTGTAATTTGATATTTTCAGAACATAACCAAAAAGGTTATCCCATCTTATCCTGGGTTTTACTGGACTCCAGGTTCAAAAACCTGTCACTCATTTTTTGAGTAAACATAGACACAGTTGAGTCGATTTTTTCAAGGGATGCTTAATTGAGCATCCTTTGTTGCCATCTTAAAAACAACCATGTTAAAGGAAAGCTTGCAGCTTTTCATTAAAAGCTAGCTTATAAATGTAAAGATATGTTCCATTTTATCTTATGTTTGTCTTGCATTTGAAAGTAAGGATGAACAATAGATCTTGCACAACAAATTCAAGCAAGTGTAATCCTCAAAGAACTCAATATTTAGAAAAATGGGAAAGGAAGAAAAACACCTTGCTACTTACTAGAAAATCTTACTCTCTTGCCTTAATACTGATCTTTTAGTAGTATTGCATGCTTAGTTTACTGTGTGAAGCAAACTACACCTGTGTTTACACCTCAATTTTCCATGACTCCTGTATTTTCTAGAATTGTATGCTATCAATTATAAAGAATATACCTGGATGCTTTTCTTTATCTGCTGGTATTTACAGTTAGCAGATGCCCCCCCCCCCCCTTTCTGCATGAAACTGTAGTATTAGATGCTCTTGAACACTGTTGTTTGTGGGTTTTTTCTTGTATTCCTTTTTTATCATATATCAAACAATATGTGAGTGTTTGGGGAGGGAAGGGAAGGGAAAGCAAGTGGTAGTCTTAAGAAGAGAATGCCTAATTGTCAGTTTTTCTTTTCACCCTCTAAAATAAACATTTCAAGTTATCAAGTTAATCTGAGGGTAATAATCTGGAAGAACGGGTATATTGAAAAAGCTCTTCCTCTTTTTTTTTTCGTATTTTGTCTTTTAATACTAACTCTATTTTTACTACAGTGTTTCCTGGTATTTATTCTTGTTTAGTAGAAATGCACTGGAAAGTTTGATGTATGATGTCAGAGACTATGTATATGATTGGGTGGGGGAAGGGAGGAGGAGGGTGATTTTAGTATTAATATATGTGTATTGTATAGATTTAAAATCCTTTTGCAAGACTCTAGGCTGTTGAATACATATGTTTACACTGGAAATATCTGTATACCGGGGGGGCTTTTTGCTTGCAAAATGCATTAGGGAAGGATCCTCAAATGGTAATTGAAATTTAGGGGCCTGCCTTCTCTTGAAATGGGATAGAGTCCACACTCCTGAGCTCTGGTTTGGTGGTAGCATAAACTGATTGAGTCTAGGTTGCTGCAAACCTTCCCCTTTCTTTCTTCATTTGTGAGTTTTTGCCACTTTCTTGGCATTACAGCTAGCATTGTGTTGCAGTGAGGTGGTTTAGGCAACTGATTGAACTTAAAACAGATTCTTTTTAGGGTTAGGTGGGTTAGGTTTGGATATGGTATGTTGGTTGTAAGGGGAGTAGCAAGTCAGTTTACCGCTAATCAGATAGGCGGTAGAGTTAAAACAAGGACGAGGAAGGGACCATACGGACCTTTACATCAGTTGTATTTTTTTGTAACCAGGCAGCTTGACTGGAAGCTGCTGTAGTTGAACAGATACATGCATCTGTACCTTTATTTCTCTTTTTCATTAGTTGTTAAACACAGACTTGTATTTCTTACCAGCTTTGTCAAAAGCTGAAGAAAGCTGTTGCCTTTGCTTTAAACAATCCTCCCAGAAAGGTCGTCAATATGTGCTAAAAATTGTTTGTAAATTATTACCATAAAATAGACTTGACTTGTTGGAAGTTGTAGTAGTGCAACTTTGTTAGTCTCAATTTTTGATTATGTATTTTGTTCTTCTAGATTCGATTCTACGAAGTAGTGTATTCACTAAGAAAAGAACTACATGATCTACAGGTGAAAAAGGAAAGCCTAACAGAAGAACTAAATGGATACAAGTCCCAACTGAAGTGTCTGACAGAGGTCTGTGCTCTAAGTATCTCAAGTAAAAAAAAAAAAAAAAGTAAATATTTCTTCATTAAAAAAAGATTGTGCTCTAAATCACTGGGTATGTATAAGATGTAATTTTTCTGCAAGAGAAAAACCTTACATTTTTGGGGTGATGGGGGAGTGCCATATAGTATATATGTACTCTATATGCTACCCTAGGTGAATTGCTCATGAGATGTCTACTGATTTAAAATAGACTTATACCAGCCATGTCCTGCTTTTTGAGGCAGGGGATCCCTCCATGAGTAATTGAAGACACAATAACAGGTGAAGATTTTTGGAGGTGGTGGTATCTCAGTGGTAATTTGCCTCACCCTTTGTTTAAAAAATGTATAAATGCATTTTTTGGAATTTATATTTCCATTTTTGTTTCTCTTTATTTCTTTTAGGTATTTTATCTAAATATATTTAATTTTTGTTTTCAGCGAGTAAAGAAGTTGAAAAAGATACTGTACTGTGAACTTTATTTTAAGATTTTTGGAGGTGGTGGTATCTCAGTGGTAATTTGCCTCACCCTTTGTTTAAAAAATGTATAAATGCATTTTTTGGAATTTATATTTCCATTTTTGTTTCTCTTTATTTCTTTTAGGTATTTTATCTAAATATATTTAATTTTTGTTTTCAGCGAGTAAAGAAGTTGAAAAAGATACTGTACTGTGAACTTTATTTTTAAGGTCACAGAATGGTTTAGGTTGGAAGGGACCTCTGGAGATCATCTAGTCCAACCTCCCTGCTCAAGCAGGGTCCTCTAGAGCATGTTGCCCAGGATCACATCCAGGCAGGTTTTGAGTATCTCCGGGGAAGGAGACTCCACAACCTCTCTGGGCAACCTGTTCCAATGCTCTGTCACCCTCACAGTGAAGAAGTTTTTTCTCAGGTTCAGGTGGAAGTTCCTGTGTTTCAGTTTGTGCCCGTTGCCACAGAGAAGAGTCTGACCTCATCCTCTCCGCACCCTCCCCCCTCCCCCTTCAGATACTTGTAGACATTGATGAGATCGTCTCTGAGTCTTTTCTTCTGCAGGCTAAGCAGGCCCAGCTCTCTCAGCCTTTCCTCATAGGAGAGGTGCTCCAGTCCCCTCAGCATCTTTGTAGCTCTCCGCTGGACTGTCTCCTGTAGTGCCACGTCTCTCTTGTCCTGGGGAGCCCAGAATTGGACACAG